AGAGACAAAGATTCATGTGATTTCGATGAAGAGACAGCTGATTCGTCTTCATTTGAACAATTTATGAAGATCCAGCAAGAAAAACAGGAATAAGAAGAAGAACTTTTGAAGTCGACTTTGAGCATGAATCAGATTAAAATATCAAAAGAAATCAGTTAACTACAGTTAAAGTCAATAAACAATATCAATATTAATAATCATCATACAGTTAAAAGAGTATTGTTTCTGAAAATTCCGTCATAACAGTTCGTGGAGTAGGCCTACCGGGGAAACCACGTTAAAAAAACGTGTCAAAGTATACTACCTCGCAGGTGGTGTGGAAATGTGTGCATATCATGTAGAACGTGACTCATTCCACTATTAGAATCGCGATATCTCAGGAATGGTGATTCTTCTCTTCATTTTTGTAGATAATTTTATGATCTATAATTTTTGTCTGGACTACTTTTTTGATAAAACCTACCGTTTTCGAAAAAATCCAAAAAACCTCAAATTTTTACCTTTGATTCGGAATAACTTTTTTTAGCACACATGGGATCGATAGGGACTTTTGACACTTTATTTCTAATGGTGTACCCAAGGTTTCCACCAAAATTTAGCTCTGTCGGAATTTTCGTTATTTGAAATGTCTATTTTGACCGGGCTAATTGGAATCCAACTGGAAATACATATATTGGAATTATATTGGAGGCAATTGATTTGAGACCTTGTCAAGATCTTAATGAAACTATTTAGGAACTTTTATAGTTAAGTGTCTAATAAATTTTTCTTTGAAAAACAACTTATTGGAATATAACTGAAAACCTATTGGAATGTCATTGGAAGCAACTCATTCGAGACACTGAAAGTTTCCACCTTGTCGTCGTGCTGATAAAATCCTTCCCACGCCAGAAAAGCGACCCAACAACACAGCTTGAACAAATGCAACAGTTACATTAAGAACATTTAAAAAGTACTATGGTGCCTTAATTTAATAACATACGGACGAAATAAAACGAATCGACGTCCGAGTGATTTTACCCCACGGTATCTGATGAAATAAACGTTAATTGACGCGTTAATTAAAATATGAAAAGGAACGCCCATCAATTTGTATCTCAATAAAGCGCTAGATTTTTTTTTACGTCGTGCAGACGGTAGTTGCTGGCCGCTGGTTAATGTATACAAATTTAAATCAATTAGCCTACCAGATATTAAAGATAAATGGATTGCCTTGATGGATATGATTAGTAAATTGCTTTAATAAAAATGTGATGTGGCTACTATTTTAGTGGTAAAGGCATGTTTAACTGACAGTTCTAATAAGGACCTGTGGTACCTCCCGTCCTGGATAATTTAATGGGTTTTAGTTTTTATCAGCCCGTTGGGACCGATGGTGATGTTCCGCTGGAGTACCGCTTGTTTTAATAAATTATAGTGTTGGGCTACGGATGGATCAGTTTAGATTCTAACAATTTCAAGTAATTTTGGATCAGTTGCTTCTAGCATATAGTTTTTTACTTATAGTCGTTGACTGTTATTGAGAGGATATTCCAGAAAACCAATTAAAAAATAACTTTTCTATTCACATGTAAGGATTTTCTCTTAGTTTGGCCGATACGAAAGCAACATATTTTCTTTTTGGAAGTAAAAATGAAAATAGAACGACATTAATTAATAAACATATTAAAAGTGGTTAAAAATGTATTAATAATGTCCTATTTAACAGTTAATTTTAAATAAAATTGAATATATACATAAATATACAAGATGTTTATAAAATATGGTGTAGTATGGTAATAAAAGAAATGCCATTTAGCTTATTAATTGCAGCAATCCCATAAAGAGCTACTTTTTTTCAAATAAGAGTCAGAGAAATAGAGTTTTTTTATATTAAAAAAATATTTTTTAATAGGTACTTACTTTAATTGGTGGAGCGGCGAAATTTCTAATCTCATGATAGTTATACCACAGTTATACTGTGGCACCAACATCTATAAAATTGGTTGGTAAGCTATTAGCGATATTATGGAAGACAACTGCTCTGCTGACAAAAACTCTCTCCATCCAAACATGTTATATCTCACTCAGCAATAATACAGAATCAATATAGATATAATCTATACAAATATTATTGATGAAAAAAAAACGTAAGTACATAAATAATTAAATAGTTATATAATGTAAACTTTCAAATAAATTATTTCGTATCTGTTATTTTATTTAATTATTTAAATAAGTCAGGCATGTGTTTTTCATTTATACTATTTGAAAAATTGTTTTAATCTTTTTAGATAATTATTCTTATACAAGCCTTCATAAATGTTTACAAGCCTCGTGACCACCTAGCTTAGACAACCAACATTGCAGGGCTGGTACTGGTAACAAAAATCTCTAAATCTTGGCGTCGCCAATTCGTTTACAATAAACAATGACAAACCGTTATGTCCACGCTCGAGACAATGCAATCGCTGAATGGTTGAATACAATCTTATGAAAATTTACACCAAACACAGCCGGTGCAACAGAATGTTGTAATCTTCATTTCAATGTTCTAATAATTTTTAATTTTACAGGAATTTCATACCCAACATGAAGGAAACAAAATTATATATAGGTCACATGGCTTGTGAAGATGTAATGTAATTCAGCGCCGATCGGGGCATTAGTCCGCAGGGTAGTTGTTTCCTACAACATCGTTAATAACTTGTCTTTTTGGCAAACCTATAGATGTTGGTGTCAAAGAGTAGGTATATATGATCTCATCAAGTGACGATTTTAGGAAAGTTTTTAGATTTGGTTTGAACATTTTTAAAGTAATGTAAAACTACGAAAGCTATTATTAAAAATTTGTAACTAAAAAAGTAAAATACACCATTGTTGGCGTCTCAAATTAATTATAAATACGCTAGAGAAATATACATGGATAACAATAACTTTTCTTAAAGTGCAACAAAATTTTGTTAACATTAACGTACACTGAAAGAAATGGGCTTATTAAACTGTTGTTAAATTATTCGTTCTTATACTGAATATGTTTCCGTTTTTAACGTGTAAAACGCGTCTTATAATGGTTAAGTGATCGTCACGTCTCGGTGCATAATCGGTTATGATCGTAAAATTTCCGACAGTCCGCTGTGCATCCACTTACGACTATTACACGTCTAGTTTGATGAAAATGGACAGTATATGCACATGTTTTGTGGGATACATGATCATATCGCGTTGTGTGAAATGGAAAATTATTATGTAAGTATCTAACTGTTTTATGGCTTGTAATTGTTTTGTTTTTTCAAATGTAAATCTTGTCTAAATCTTAAAAATTATTATTTTGTAGGTCCTATTAGAAATCGCTGATGTTAAGTTTTACATAAGATGGAGGAACAGAAGGTTAACGGTGACAAAGAAGAGCATGGGTATAAAGTCAATCAACCAGAGGAAATAAAATTATATGGAAAGAAGCTCAACCTTTCTGGGGATGCTTCATTCTTAAGGTGGAAGAGTTATAGTGCAAATTCTCATGTAATACAAGAAAATACGGGTGCATCGTTGCTAAGAAAATAAACTGGACAGTTTTGGGAGCGATTTGTCATCATTTTTAATGCTTAAAAGTATGTTTTATGTATGTTTACATTAGAACCTTAGCTTGTAATTACAGTTATCCAATAAAATTTCTGAAAACTTAATGACATATGTTTTTAACTCATACAGAGTATACAACAGTTTAATACATTTATTATTATAAAACTTATAACCAGTACTAGATGTTCTAATAACGATATGGAACACTTTAATAACAGTTATTGCTATTATTTCGTAAAGGGTATAAAAAACGTTGTATACTAGTTATACAATAATTTAATAAAGAATAAGGTTTATAGTCACTATACAACTGTGCTAGCAATACGCGTTTTATATCCAATATTCACCTGTTTAACTGTCACATATAGTATACAATGGTCTTATAATGGCATATAGAATTCTAATAAAGAATAAAACGCATTTCTTTCAGTGTAGAATTTATGAGTTAAATTTTTTTTGCGGTTCCAATTGAGATCGTAACAACTATACTAATGTGCCCACATTTAGTATTATATTTTTTGTTATTTTAATTGTTCTTTAAATATACACCTTGTCAAATTCTCTGATCCTTAATCCAAATATTGAAACTATAAGTAGGTATTTTACAAACTGATATTTGATGGATTTGATGCAGTAAAGCATTTTTTATTTGTCATTCAAATACGTTCTACCAAATGTGAAAACTACAGGTACATTGTAAAGAAAGAAGGAAGGCAAATGTTGTAGCAATAAACATAATTAGTAAAGGTTTCAACAAATTAGAAGATAATTATCTAAATATTACTGATTGTGAGTTCAAACTGATGAACACGACGAAATAACTTATTTGTCAAAAAATTTGAAACTTATAATCATAATCATCTAATGTTACTTTTCAAATAGCTTGTAAGTAACCTGTGGAAGATTGGTAGTGTCCCAATCAAAACTCTTTTATTCTTGGTATCTTGTGTTAACATATACATAAAATTTTCAAAAATTTGTAAAGAAATTCATATACCACAAAAGGTCTCTTGTATATTTGAGCTATAGATATGTGTTTACTTCCATGAATTGTACAGAACTGACAGAAATATTAAAAATCTATAAAATACAAATTATGTAAACAAAAGAAAAAAGTGACTATGTCGAGGAAATATGGTTTTAGAAATCAAATGCCGGATGATCAGAAGATGATGTCACGATGAAGAAATGTTGATTTAGAAAACAAGGAAGGAGGGATCGTGATATTAAATCAATGGACCAGGAAAGTCTTTGATGAAGAACGAGAAATGGTCCCAAGGAATTTAACAATGTTTTTAATATAGTTTATCACTTAGGTAGGTAAAATTTCATGCGCAATATCTAGTGAGGTATCAATATCGTAACATCTAAGAGATACGTGGGGTTACAGTCGTTAACAGGAAGCAAGCATGCCAAATACACAAAAAGGTCACGCTTACCGGCGCTCTCACCGTTCCCGGGAGTCTGGGCCCTCTCCACGTCTCCGTCGCTCTTCCGGACCAACCCGAGGATGTTGTCGATGGTGTGTCTAGGCCCGGAATTCGGACTGGCCACCATCCTCATGGGCTTAACGTCCAACCCGTAGCTGAGCATACTTGAAGTATCTTCACAACGATCCGAATCCATCGCGCGCTTTTAACTGACTGAAGTTGGCAGCCACGCTTCGGTACCCAGGGGCGGTTTGGAGGGCGGGGCACGCCCGCCTGGGCCAATAAAACACCGCCGACATCCATCATGGAGTCTATAAGGGTAAACGGAGGTGCCCGCCAACTCTAATAAGCTCTGTGCCGTAAATTTTATGGTGTAAAGACCTCAAATTGGTGACAATAGTCAGAAATTAAGTTCGGTAAATGCTATTGCTACTTGTCTTTAAGTGGGGTTAACCAATAAAATGCATTTATTAGCTTAATACATTAACTTAATCCGTTCGAAGTGGGGAACTAGGCTATTCGGTGGCTGAAAGTATTGTATTGTAGGTAGGCAGTTATAAACAAATTGGTGAGTACCTAATTGTTTGCCCTGCCACTGCAGACCTTTCCCAACGGTTACGGTACGGTCTCAAAGTGTCAACACCTCCAAAAACTTTGGTTTCTTGTTGTGCCACATCTCGTCACCAATTAGCTACAGTGACAATAGTTACGTTTTAAACTCGTCAGTTTACAACGTTAAGAACATAATAGCTGATTCTTTCTAAACTCATCTAGGTATATGAATATATTTCTTCCAATAATCATAATACAGAATATTCGTATGAATGAATTTTGAAAAAAGGATTTTAAGTAGATTTACAAACAAAGAATTTAAGTTTTTGCTAAATTCAACATGGTAAAATAAACTTAATTAGGTACTTATTGAATAAGACTAGATATCAAGGTTGCCAATAACATTCCTGGAATTTCTTAAGGAAGTAGGTACACCAAAAATGATAGTATTGAGATGTTCGACCGCAACTTATACAGTTCTTTATTTTCCCAAGTCCATTAAAGGACAAATAAATGGTTTGATTTAGGATTTGCTGCAGCAAGGATCATAATTTGATTTATACACTGAAAGAAATGGGCTTCTTAAACTGTTTATCTAGAATAATGTGCATAGCGCATATTAAAACTTTTATAACAAATATACAACTTTTATTAAAAAAAAGCAATCATCTCCATACTCATTATTCAATCAGTTTAACTGGAAGGTGCTTAATACACCTTATGCATCTATGAAATAAAGGTTATAATGAATTACTTATACATTATTAGGTGTTATAGACTTTATATTCCAGTTGTATAGTAGGGAAGATTTGTTGTATAAAGACCAGTATCCGAATTTGTATATAACAATTGTATTAACAGAATTATTCGTTCTTATACTGAATATGTTTCCGTTTTTAACGTGTAAAACGCATCTTATAATGGTTAAGTGATCGTCACCTCTCGGTGCATAATCGGTTATGATCGTTGTTAAGTTATATTCATAGTCTTGTAATAATAATCATATGTCAGACCCGAGAGCGAAGTGCGCCGACTCAATAAGAAACCTGGCTATTCCAGCCGCTGATTTAGGGTTCGCCGCACGAGCTCATCCCTTCTAAGATTTCAGTAGCATGCTATGCATGAAGCAGAACGGTACTCAACTATCTTATACAGTCCACTTTTATTGTCCATACATGTTCAATCATTGTCAAAATAAACACACAAAACCACAACGTCTTTATTATCTTTACTCAAGAAGAGAAAATACAACAATCGTAAAATTTCCGACAGTCCGCTGTGCATCGACTTACACACGTCTAGTTTGATGAAAATGGACAGTATATGCACATGTTTTGTGGGATACATGATCATATCGCGTTGTGTGAAATGGAAAATTATTATGTAAGTATCTAACTGTTTTATGGCTTGTAATTGTTTTGTTTTTTCAAATGTAAATCTTGTCTAAATCTTAAAAATTATTATTTTGTAGGTCCTATTAGAAATCGCTGATGTTAAGTTTTACATAAGATGGAGGAACAGAAGGTTAACGGTGACAAAGAAGAGCATGGGTATAAAGTCAATCAACCAGAGGAAATAAAATTATATGGAAAGAAGCTCAACCTTTCTGGGGATGCTTCATTCTTAAGGTGGAAGAGTTATAGTGCAAATTCTCATGTAATACAAGAAAATACGGGTGCATCGTTGCTAAGAAAATAAACTGGACAGTTTTGGGAGCGATTTGTCATCATTTTTAATGCTTAAAAGTATGTTTTATGTATGTTTACATTAGAACCTTAGCTTGTAATTACAGTTATCCAATAAAATTTCTGAAAACTTAATGACATATGTTTTTAACTCATACAGAGTATACAACAGTTTAATACATTTATTATTATAAAACTTATAACCAGTACTAGATGTTCTAATAACGATATGGAACACTTTAATAACAGTTATTGCTATTATTTCGTAAAGGGTATAAAAAACGTTGTATACTAGTTATACAATAATTTAATAAAGAATAAGGTTTATAGTCACTATACAACTGTGCTAGCAATACGCGTTTTATATCCAATATTCACCTGTTTAACTGTCACATATAGTATACAATGGTCTTATAATGGTATATAGAATTCTAATAAAGAATAAAACGCATTTCTTTCAGTGTATATTAAACATTTATTATGGTAGCTAGAATAGGCGTTTTAAACATTTTTGATGATGAATAGGGACATTTTTCTGATAGAAAATAAAATATAATGAAAATACTTAGGATTTCTAACACATTTTCATGCTGTATACCTATGCATCTGCTTTTTATACACGCACCAAAAATAAAACTTACAACATAAAGATTTAAAAACAGTAATTCAATATTAGTGTTCAACTGTTGAAACAAACTTACGAAAATGATGCTCTGGGTCGTGCGAATGGTTGCAGCAAAATTTCTTCCTCCGTTTGGTAATCGAACAATAGAAAGAAAATCGTATGGCCGTTTGTTGGCAATGCAATGACAATGAAACATTCCTTCAAAGGATCACAACGAGAGACGAAAGCTGGATTTACGGCTACGACATCTATAATCTATTCAATTGTGAACAGAATCGTTAGTGGTCAATTGAAACACAGTTAAGAATATTTTTTATGCAACTACGTAACAATTAAAATTTTTGAAGACTTTACTTTGCATTATATCAGACAAAGATACAATTAAAGGAAACGCAACGTACTTAATTAACAAATAAACAACGTCTCTGAGCTAATTAAAACTGTAAGAAGGCATAGACTTTGCTTGTAAATTTTCATTATCACTTACTTTTTGTTCTGTAAATAACTCTTAATGACCCCAGTTGTAATTATACATAAAACACGAAATAATTCTTTTTAAAGACAGATGTAGGTACTATTTTTGGTATACTTCTAAATATAGGCTATGTTCAGCGAATGGTCGGACCAGTCAAAATCGTTCAGCGGACAAATATTTCGTTGGTCAGCCCAATAAGCTGATTGGGAATATTGGGCAGGTTTTAATACAGTGACTAAAGGCCGTTCAGCGAATTGTTTGACTAAAGAAGTTTAAGCGAACTAGTCCGACCATTCGCTGAACACAGCCATAACATATAATTTCATTCACAGTAGATATCTAAACTTAACATTGTGTACCTACTTGAGGAATTTTTGTATTTACGAAAAAGAAATAAATATTAGGTACCTACTTCAATCAAAGAACTACCAGTTGTATGGATGAAACGAGTTCAATTAAATAGGTGTATGTACATCATCAGTAGTGTATAGGGTGTTTCTATTATGTGTCGTGCGTTTATGTGACAGTATACATGAGATTAAAGAAAGGTTCTATATAACACTGATATCAAATTTACAAAATAAAAGAAGTTGCTTATGGAAAATTAACTTACTTTAACAAAAATATGGTACTTATCATCCATCTATGATGTTAATTAGTACGTATAACTCAAGTCTAGGTAATATTTTTTTTTACAAAATACAACTCTTGTATCCAACGTATTTAGATATGGTAATTGGTCCATCTAACAAGAAGTATGGTACGTAATACACGATGAAATTACTGCCCTTACTCTTCCGTTTCAACTATGTTTTTGGTAAACGTTGGAAGAAATGGGATGGCCTGCTCGCTCATCGGATATGAACCCTTTAGACTATTATATCATATGAAATCATTACTATATTAAAATGAAATTGAACACAAAGAGTACCTATAACATCGTACACAAAAAAAAATTGCAGCTGCTCAGAAATAAGAATAATACCAGGAATTTTCCAACGAATAAGACAATGTAATCCGTTTATGTTCTTACAAACAACAATGCATTTGTAACATTACGCGAATCAAATAGTAGGTAACTATGCAACTATGATGTTGTCAAATCAATCAGAAAATCTTTAGATTTGAAGAAATCGTCTGTATCTATACATATACAGGGTGTTTCAGAAATGCCTCCCGTAAATTCAGGGGGTGATAGTACGACAAAAAATAAGAATTTTTTGTCTTATGCACTGAAAAAACAATTACTTTCTATTAAAGCAATCGGTTGTTTTGAATGCAGTTAGTTTACATTTATGCTGGTTACATTGAGTTAAACCAGTTACATTCAATACAAGTCATTTGATTTGTTTGAATTAAAAAAAGAAACAGTTTACAATAGGTTTGTCTATAATTAACAAATTAGATTTAATATAACCATTTATGATTTTAGAATATTTGTTAGGCGAATTAAAAGAATAAATTTTTAATACAAATTTATATTCGTTTTTATTTAATAAATATTATTTTATATTGGCCTATCTAACGTTACAATTAAACTTTAAAGGAAAATTATTCCAAATATATAATTTCTTAAATGTGAACCAGCTGGTTATAAAAGTTAAATTTTTATATAGTTTAAAACTATTATCAGTTCAATAGTAAAATATATTATTTAAAAATTATTCCAATCACGTGACCAAGTTGTGTTCTCCCCTGACAGTCGTANTAATTTCCATTATTAACAAGACATATTTTGCTGCTTAATTTTTTATGTAATACAATTTGTAGGATGAAGATAGAGCATAATTGTGGTACCAGAAGGGGGCAAACGTTAAATACGAAAATTGTTCAACAAAAGCAAAAGGAGTTTTTTTTTA